TTTGTTCCTTGAATGAACATGCCTTTTGGAAGGCATCAGCCAACCCTGAAACTATGAGAGTGAAAAAGCCCACTGAGTAGCAGAAGAGTAAAAAGAAGAGCTAAAGATAGACCCTCTATTAAATGTACATGGGCATTAACAGAATAACAAAAATAGGAAACAGAGCAGAAAGTTAGGAGCCATGCTCGGTACAGCATCATCATAGAAACCCACAGAGAAGTTCAGAAAGGATGGAACACCAACATTACAAAGCAGAGATCATCTTTGATGAAAAGATGGAAAAGTCTGTAAAACTTATTAATTAGAAGATTATCACTGATGATTTTGGTAAAGGTAACAAGATGTTCTGAGCAGCAGGCCGATTGCTTTGAACTAAGTAGTGACTGGTGGATAAAAAAGTGGAAAACCAAGTGTAGACTGCTTATTTAAGGATTTGGCCTCAAAGGAAAGACTGGAGAGGGCTGTGGATGAGAGAGTGTTTGTTTCTCCTTTGCTCTATCCATCTCCCCCTCTCTGTGTGGCTGTATTGTGTATGTGTAAGATGATAAAGATCAGAGCATAATTTTATGTTACAGGAAAGGAGTCTGTAAGAGAGACTGAATATATAGGATTGTGTAATCATAATCTATCCTGGAGGAACTGGGGGATAGAAGGAAGGGTAGGATGGATGATCCCCTCACCCAGTGAGACAAAAAGGAAAGACACGGGTGGGGTTAGTTTGGAGACCTGGGCTTGAAGTTGAGGCGGTTCATGTATGAGAACTTCCATTTTCTCTGGGGTGTGGAGCAAAGTCATTTTCTAGTGGTGGGTCAGTAATGGGGTAAGAAGTGTAAGAGCAATGGCAAGGGCATGGAGTCATTGCTGTGGGAAATGGACTTGAATAATGACATCAGAAGGACCCAAATGGGGCATAAGTTAGGAGGCAGGCATAAGTTGAATTGTTCCTATCATGTGCTTCTAATCACCACTCCCTCTATCTTCAAAAGGTTCTCTCATCCTGCCATAAGGCTCCAGAAGCTTTAAAAACAGACACACTTTTTTGGGTTTTGTTTTTTTTTGAAAGCAGGATTTATTAAGAGGACAGAAAAGCTCCCACAGTGGGAGGAGACCCGAAGGAGTTGCCCTGAAAACAGACACAAGTCTTTACTGGCTGTTTTCTAAGGCAGGAATGCTGGTGGGAACAGCTGCAATTAAAACACTCCCAGATGCAAGCAGGGATGGGAGGAGGCCATGTGGAGGCAGCTAATTACAAGAAAAGTGGGTTCTGGTCATCCTAAGGCAGCAGGGTAGAAAACACATTGGTTTGACCCACAGAGATTGCTAATCTTGGTTAATTAATTGGAGGACTCCAAGGAATAAATTTGACAAACAGCCTACTATGTATTTTTGATTTGCACAACAAAAACAAACTAACAAAACACAGCCCTAGGTCTGGAAATAGAGTCCTCTCATGAGTGAGAGAGCTGACTTGTCAATCTATTTCCAGTGCTAAATCAGATCCCAGATCCAGAGCATTCTGAGCATAGCCCAAATATTTTTGAAGAGGTATGCTGTGGAAATACCATCCCTAAGACTACACACAAACTTTCATCTCAACCTTCCCCCCACAAGCCTTGTGATCCCTTATTCAGAGATAACTGCTCCAGAAAAAAGGAAACACTCAAACTTTTAGTGACTATCACTTACTAATCCCAAACTAACACTAATTTCTGGGACCCAAAATGTTACTATTTGCCATCAACATTTTTAGTTTATAGATGTTAGGTGGTAAATGAACTGAATTCTGAATCCTGGCCCAAGTTCACCTTTGGGCAAGGCTAGTGGAACTGTGAATTTACTCCACGGTTATGGACCCCCGCTGCCAAGTGACTAGCTGGAATCTTAGCAACTGACAGAATTCCTGCACTGGCACATTCTTTAGACCTCGTCTTATGTAAGGTCCTCAGCACAACCCCAAAAGGCAAATGTTATTTCTATTTTAGAGATGAGGAAGCTGAGATTCAATAGTCACCATCAAAGGAGAGAAAGATGCTGCTGTGATGGCTCCCACCTCATTTCCACTCACTTCACAGAAGACTGATGGGTCCTGATTATTGTAAACCCAATCAAGTGGTGACTACAAGGGTAGCTATTCTTCCTAATGGAGTCTCCACAGTGAAGCAACTTCAAGCAGTCTGACACTTGGTTTGCACTCACTGAACTGGGATTTAGCTCTGAAATATCTTTTTAAAAATCTTTTTAAAAATATCATGCACCAATAATGTTTTAATTCAATCATACATTTTGTTTTTGTTGTCTACCACTCATATCCTTGTTCATGTCTTTATCAGTTTCTTCCATTTAAAATGGAGATCGTAAGTGTAACTTTCTCAGTTACTGGGAAGAGAATTGGATGATACATGTAAAGAGCACATAGTAAGTGCTCTCCATATCTGTTAATTATATCAGATAATTGGGATGAAAATCTGGGATACTTTTTTTGATTCATTGATCATTTTGCAAGAGTCATTCTCAAATCATTTAGGGAAATGATAAACTTTTGGAATCCTTGCATGTCTGAAAATGGTTTTACTCCACCCTCCTCCCATCACACTTTAATGCTTATTTGCCTAGGTAAAGGATTCCAGCTTCAGCTTTGAAGATATTGCCACTAAGAAATCCAATGGCAAACTAATTTCCATTAGTTTTATAGGTAACATCTCTACATAAAATCTCTAGATTCCCTTTCTCCCAGGCTTTGTCTAGGATAGGATGTTTTTCATTAGTTGTTCTAAGGACTCAGATGGACCCTTTTAATCTGAAGACTTGTGTTTTTATTGAAATCTGGGACATTTTCTTCTTTTTCAACCTCCTGATACTCACCACCACTCTTTCTGTTGTTTCAGTAACTTTTGTCATTTAAACGTTGCAATGTCTGGACCGATTTTCCATGTCTTATAATTTTACTTTTTGCTCATTTGCTGCTCAGCCCTGCCTATCTGGCTATAAACCAGCCCACAAATCTTGTATATTTTCTCTTTCAGGGATTCCTCAATATTCCTGGCTCATTGATGGAGTATTTTTGTCCCTTGGGTTTTCAAAGAAATTTTTATTATGTCATGGGATTTTAGGCAGAAGATAAGGTCGATGTGTATGATTAGGTCTCTTTCTTGATTCAAATTCTTTGGTTATTATTTTTTTAGGTTGTGAATTTTAAGGTAAAAGTATTTATAATAGGCCTTTCTATTCTATAGACCTTAAACAACCATTTTCTGGTTTTCAAGCACTTAGAAATCTGGCTCATTCTACTGAGCCAACAAACACGTCCAAATGCAACCTCGGCTTTTGTCTCTAAACTCTTTCATCTCCAGCGGCGCCTGGAACGTCTACTCGTTCAAACGTCCTCCCCATCCTGCCCATTCCTCTCTTCCGGGAGCCAAAGCTGCATCCAGCTCCGCGGTGATTCTCAGCCTTAAGAATCAGAACTGTCAAGCCGGGCTCGGTGGCTCAGCCTGTAATCCCGCGCCTTTGGGAGGCTGAGGTGAGCGGATTGCCTGAGTCGCAGGTTCGAGACCCGCCTGGGCAGCGAGACCTCATCTCTACAATAAATCAAAAAATCAGCCGGGCGTGGTAGCGCATGCCTGTAATTCCGGCTACTCGGAAGGCTGAGGCGGAAGGATCGCCGGAGGCCAGCAGGTCGAGGCTGCGGTGGCCGGGAGCGGCCACTGCACTCCAGTCTGGGCGACAGAGTGAGACTCCAACTCAAAAAAAAAAAAAAAAAATCAGAACTGTGTAATTTTCCCCCAAATAAACCTAGACTTACTGAACGAGAATCTCTGCTGATTAGACACGGGCATCTTTTTTCCTCTTTTAATAGCTCCACAGGTGGTTCTGGGCACGCCCGGGTGGAGACCAACGAGCCTCCTTCCCTCCCCGCCGCCCGGCCCCGCCCCCGACCCCCGCGGCGGGCCGCGGCCTCATCTCGCGTCCTGGAACCACGTCGGAAGAGACGGGTGCGGCCCATCCCGCAAGAAGGTCCACCTTCTCGGGAGCTGGGCCAAGCGGCCGGGCGCTTGGGGCGGACCCCACATCCGACCCGCCAGCGGCAAGGCCAGCCAACGGTCCGGCGTGCCGC